TTAAATAAAAGTAAATAAAAAAATTAAAATTAAATTAAATAAAAAATAATAAAATAATCAAAAGTAAGTTACGATAACTAAAATGAGGTTCAAAAATATATTTCTTTACAAAACTATAAAATATAAAAATGAAATTAGAAAAAAAAGAAATTGAATTAATATGAGTAGAAAAAACTGTTTGTTAAAATTAAATTAAATTAAAAAAAAACATTTGTCGTTTTAATTGCCAGTTTCACGAAAGCTATTTAAGTGAAAAATTATTTTTTTTATTTCAGTTTAGTATGAAAACTGAACGAAGGGAAAAATAATTTTTCTAGGAGTTTTTCAACCAATCCACTCACGGAATAATTATTTATTAACACGTTAGATTTCGTACAAATCAGATTACATCCATTAAACAGATGAGTGAAGGTCGGGCCCTTGTCGGATCTTGGACTAAAAGCAATTAAAGTCTTCTTTCATTTTATGAATTTGCGTGTAAATCTCTACTTCCATCGATTTCTTTGAAGTCTGCAAGTTGCCCTAAAAATATATATACACTGTGTTCATTTAAATCTTTTCTTACCTTCGAGAAAATATTAGTAGATTTTTAGCCTTTTTTTGGTAAAAACGATAGAAAATAAAATAAAGCTAAAGAGTGGGTAGATCTACCAATAAAGTGGTCAAGTCCGTGTATCAAGTCAAGTTCATAGTATTTTAAACATTTGCTCGGATATTCATCAAAAACGGGGGAAGGGAGGTTACTCCATTACATTATCTTCGACTATCAAACGACAAAGAGTGGCTAACCCTCTAACCCTGAGCTTCCTTTTTTCGGCCTGTATCTGAAATATACGATTGATGCGCAAATTTATTCAAGTTTGCTGTGATATATCAATTTTTACTGTGTTGCATTTATCTTTGCCAAATTGAAGGTTTCGCACTCACAGCTGCAGCAGCATGCCATACAATGCCAAGTTGAAAGTTGTAGTTTTTCTTGCCACCTAAAACAATCGCTTGCAACAACTTTATTTATATGCCAGCAAATTGCCAAAAATTATATGTTGCAAATGAGTGGGTAAGTAAATATTAAGTAGTAGTGTGCCATTGTGGCACATAATCATTTGTTCCATAAATAAATATGGCGTTGTTCATGTCTAGCAACACACATACTTAGAAGCAGCATATTTATACGAAAATGTATTTTCCAAATAATATAAATTAACTATTTATCACAGGAAAAAAAAAAAAACAATACACAAAAGCGGGAAATGTAATCGCACATAAATCAAAAATAATGCTCTAAATGGTAAATGCAACACCGCCAATGCAGCTGTGCAACAAATGGGACTAGCTATTAGCAACCATGGTAACAACGACAGCCTTCTGCTGCAACATGTTGCAACAATACAATTAGTTCACGTTTGTTTTGTCTATGATAAATGCGCATTGAATTGGTTGCTTGCACTTTGCTACTATTTATTGTTAAGAGCGTGTCAGACGTGGCAATATTTCCAACTTTTCCACGCAATTCGCTGTCAAATTGAGAAAGAGAAATTTTATTTCGCTGTGTGAACAGCGAGCAAGAACTTTCTGTCACATTTCGGTAATCAGTTTGAGAAATAAAAGTTGCAAGATGTGACTGCAATTGAGAAAGCGCAAATCGATTTCGGAAATATATTTCAACTTGATCGTGTTGCACCAGCAATCTGCAATTCGTCTTTCGGAAATAAAAAACCTCTTTCTTTGACAGCCTTGTCGAAATATATTGCATTGCCACGTCTGATAGGCTCTTTATTGTCATAGTCGATGTTGTTGTTGTTGTTGTTGTTGTGTTTGCGTTGTAGCTTTTGTGGCTGCTGCTTTATATAGTCAAGTCAAGTGAAGTCAGCTCCGGCATGTCCTACTCTTTGCTTCCTCGCACCGCATACATTTGGTTTGGTTGGTTTTTGTTCTACTTTTTTGTTCTCACATTTATCTGTATTTTTTCGTTTTTTCTACTTATGTATGTATGTACATTTATATGTATTATAACTCTTGTTTAATTTCTTAATTTGCGCGCGACTAAACCGCTTGACGTAATGAATAGTTGCTGCCAATTTGGCTGAAGTATTGTCGGTTTTACGCTATTCTCTTGCTATATTTGTTGTTGTAGTTATTGTACCTATTGATTACTTTATAGAAGTTGTCACATTGTCGGTTTCGGAAACGCTTTTTAATTTATTTACTAAATTTATTAAACTAAAAGCAAAAATATTTTGTGCAAAAACCCGAAATTACTTTGTGGTTTTTAATTAGCACTTCAAAAAATTTAAATTTGGCGAAAAACTATTTTTTGCTCATTTGGATTATATAAAAATGCAAACATTTGATGAGCACAGAAAAAAACTATTTCACATAAGCCATTATTTGAAATTATGGGTAGAGCCTTTTTATTTCAAAGATTTTTTTTTTTTGCTGTAAATCGTTTGAAAACCTTTTACCAATATCCTTTCAAACACATCTTATTCTTGAGTTAAAGTTCTTAGATCATAGTGGATTTTTTTTTTAGGTTTCTTGTTTTAATATATCGTCGCTTGGCGAGCAATACCTCCTATTCTTGCAAAGTCATTCGAAATCAGTCCTCATTTAAAACCACTGTATCCGAACTGCCTCTCTAACTTTTAAACTGCAGATGATAGCAATACATACGTATCTACATACGCCGAATTTAAAAATCGCATATTTGGCTTCTTTAAGTGAGCTAATTTCATCGGAAAAAATTTACGAAACTGTGAACCACCCTTCAACGTTATGATCAAGTGTTCCTTCGATGGGACCAACCCCACACTGTTGGAGCAATGAAATAGTTTTCCTAGGAAAGGAGAAACCAAGTTAAGCGAACCAGCTCTAGGCAAGCCTACAAAGATGCTCTAAAAACCTTTAAAAACTTCATAAAAGAGGCGAAAACTTATTCGTAGAAAAAAATCTTCAATGAATTAGAAGAAAATTCTGAGGCCAATAATTTACGAAAGATGCTTTCGAAAGCCTTATATACCGCTATGTATGCTCAAAACTCAAATGGCGACGGACTTCGCCATGCAATGCGACGACCATGAACATTCATCTTCTTAGGTGTTTTACTACACTCAGACCCACCACTTCTGGTTTCAGACTATCGAGGGTTTTAAAAGACATTATTGGCGAAACAAGTTGGAATGGGCGATCATGTGCTTCAAATCTACGGATTTATACAACATACCTTACGCAGGGCTTATTAATAAACATCTATCATTTGCCTAGTCCTGGCCCACATCTCCAAAACGATCACAAAAAGAAAGTGGTGCTCGTACCAAAAGGAAGCAGATTTTCTCTTGTCAAGCCAAATGATTTTCGACCTATAAAGTCAAAGAAAGCTTAAAGACATTTATATCTGGGGTATTTATGACTCAGTTAGGTACCCTTGTCGGAAAGGTCCACAGTCTTCCTAGATATATGTAGGAGATACATTCGTCGAATATTTACTCCAATTTCAGCATCCATGAAAGAATTTATTTGATTCTAGCTTCCTTCACTAAATAAGTGTCACACTGACAAAGGCGACTGAAGTTAAATATTTGGATATGATTGGATTTGGACAGGAAACTCTCAAGGAATTTTAGTATAGAAGTAGGATTTAGGAACGCTATGACTGCCCTATATGCCATAGAATTTAGAAAAAAATGGGGCCCTAAGCCACGAATGGTACACCGAAAGTACAAGAGGCCAACCGCCGAATTTGGTTTTATGGCGACTGCGGGTGGTAGACGTCCTACAAAAGTACAAAAATACCACATGCTCCGAACCCCAACCAGTAGTGCGATTCACTAACTTTTAACAATGCGACTTGTCGAGATGTCAGCTAACAATTTTTGTTGTTTGCAGTAACGATTGTGCGATTCATTAACTGTGCNTCCTAAACTCGTTCTTAATGCTCATATTGCTCTGGAAAAAGCGGTAACAAAATATTTGTTTACTCAAAAATACTTGACATTTACCTTGGGGGATAAAGTTTCCGCCCTCGGTTGTGGTAAATGGATTCCCGTGAGAAAGGAGAAGAAGATACACTTTTGGAGTTGATTCTAGCTCTACTGCCAATACACAGTTTTAGCCAAAGTTAATCCTTTAACGACATATCTAAATTCGTTCGGTGTTTTGAATAGATATTGTGCAGCAGCGCCCTGGTGGCTATCAGCAGATATCTGGTATAAAATTATTGCTGCGACCAAGTGATCCTACCGAAAATCCTACTTTTCCCCTCTAAATCTTCTGTGTTACTTATACACACTTGTAACCATCTCTCGGAATATTTTGGTTCTTTAGCTAACTATTTAAAGGTGACGCTTAGCTATGAGTGGTATATATTGTACTTGGAAACGCTGGGTGGTAATTATTATGCATTAATTTTCTATTTAACTAATGGCTCAATATTTTAGGTATTTATTTAATGGCAATGCAGCTTCTATACCCTAACCTGATCTTGATGCATATTTGATGATTGCTAAACATACTTACATATATTATACTTCATTTCTTTAGTTCATTCAAAATTATTGCCATTTAACACACACTTGCGATGATAAATCGCATGTTTACCCACTTTAGTTTGTTTTAAGTTTAAAATTCTAACCGCATTCTTATATGTTCAATATAGTTTAAATTAGCTAAATATATTTACACAATTTAGCCACACTTAAAGCAATTGCGTGGCTTGGTATTTGCATATAAATTTGCATTCTTGTTCTAATTAAATATTTCATACCTTCAATATTATTTATGCGTGTTTAGTCAGTCAATAATTTGTTTTAAAGCAATCTTATGCTCACAATTACGCTCACTCGAAAACTACTTAGTTTCAAATTAAATCCCACTAAATAAAGTATATACCTCAAATGCAGTAAAAAATTTGCAAATTTGATGTAGTTGAAGTTGTAGCTCAAATGAATATATTAATTTGCATAATTTATTTGAAATCAGTGTTGAAGTGCGTGTATTTACCATGCCTTTGTACCAGAGCTGCCACTTAGGCATTGTATTCTTTCTCAAAACATGCAACAGTTGAATTGCATTATATGTACTTATGTAATTATATTAATTCAAATTTTATATTTTCTCTAAAATAATAGCGTATTCTTTTCTCGAAATGATATTGCATTTTTTCTGCCCTGCGCCAGGGCTGCCAAGTTTTCGTGTTCTTTTCTTAGCATCTTCACATGCATATTGCGTGCTCTTTCCTTAAAATGTTGCACTCTTAGAATGTTGCCATATAAGAAGGTGAAATTTTTTTCGATAACAGTAAACGCCATAGGTGAGCATTCATGTCGCAATAAATATTCGCCATCCCACGTTTTTATAAAAATATGAAAAATTATTTAAAATGTTATATTTTATTCATGTGCCCATTTTTTTATAGCTGTATATATTTTGAGCGAGTTACGGTATTTAGGCCGTTTAAAACTATGGAATTATAAAATCTCATCTGCAGACTAGATATACGAAAGATATCGATCCCTCTAAGTTTACCTTAAAATGGTTATAGGCATACGCCGCGTGAACGTGTAACCTTCTGGCAGGTGTCACGGCTGGTTCTTAATATTTCCGACACAAATTCAGTAACCTTAGCTTAGCTTTCATTTTCGATTTTTCCATTATATAGCAGATGCCGACTCTCCCTCTTCCATTAACTGAATGTTTGTCTATCAATACCGGACTGATAAAATGAACCTCCATAACAAATTTAAAATACTTTCAGAGATTTTATATACTTCCAGAAATATGTATTATAAAAGTTTTAGTATGTATGTATGGGAAGCGACATGTATACATAACTCCATACCAAGTTCCAGTATGCTTCCACAAAAACTTCCAGGGATATGTGGTAAGAAACAATCAATTTGTACGGGAAGTGTCACGCACCCTTTTCTTGTAATCCTAATTTTCTTCAGTGAGTATGGAATTGATTTTATATATCCCAATACCGAGTCCCAGTACTCTACCATAAACCCGTCTAGAGATATGCAGTATAAAATAAATTTGTACGGGGGTACCACGCCCCTTTTCGAATAAGCCCAATTTTTCCCCATGGGCATGGTTTTAATTTTGGGTACACCTAAATCCAAGTGCCAAGTCTCAGTCCTCTGCAATAAACACCTCCAGAGATATGCAGCATAAAAACAAAATCAGTTTTTATTGGAGTTGCCACCTATATTTCGTTTAAAAGTTCAAAATTTTGGTGAAAATTTGTCGAATTTTCCTAAACTTAGTAAAAACTTTGAATCATTACTTTATATTCCATTTGATGCAGAATGAACTATATTTATATTAAAAATTAACGAAAACAATTTATTACGAAAAACATTGCAAATTAAAAAAAAAAAAAAACACTGTACAGAAACATATTCTGGCTGGTGTATGTATATGTGGATGTTTGTACGCACTTGCCAACATAAGAGTAGATAGATATTCCTGGCAGCTAGCATCGTTAAATGTTTTCACAAACGAAAAACAAGTCACACAAATAATTCAAGAAATATTCCGCCAATCTGTGTGGTGAAAAAAGAGTAACAAATGGTTTGCCAAAGCCCAAAAGGCAATGCAAAACTCAGTGCTCGGTTGTGCTTCAGCCTGCTTGTTAGCTCTAAATAGGCATAATTTGTAATGAATTACAATTGGAATCTGTGCAATTCTTAAACGTTGAGATGAATTGAAAAAGGAAAAATAAATGAACGGAAATGTAATGTGTTTAAACTTTAAAGAGAGGAAGGCAACTTGCTATGCCTAATTTAGCAGCTTCTGCAGGTGCAAAAAAATACTTATTAATGTTATAAACACCGTAATAAGTACCACATACGTATTATATTGTTTATATACAAAAAGTGTTTTTTTATGTACATAAGTAGGTAACTCCAGTTGCCATTAGCCGTGTATGTATGTATGTTGACACAACTGGTTATTAAAAAAATAATTACCTAAATTTAGTTAAATTAAAAAATATCACAACACCATTTGAGAAGGCAGCATTAGGTTAGGCTTGGTCCTACTCGAATCCAAACTGGCTACGAAACCCACAATATTTTTATGCTTTTCGGTGAGAACATATTTCCACGAAGACAGATGTCCCCCATTGAGCCAAGTACACAATTATACGTTACCTTAGATTTAGCTCCATCAAGATATTTTTATTTTCATAAGTGCGGCTCTGAAGTTCGTACGTTTAGATCGCCTGCCCAGCACGGTATCCAGCGATACATTGCTGCAGAAATTTTAAATATAGTGTTACTAGTTTGTAAGATTTTAAAACTTATTGTTAGTTCCAAAAGAAAGATTCAATAAATAGATACACATTATACAAAAAAACAAAAGAAAAAAAAAATGAAATACAAAAACTTCTAGAAAATTTAAGAACTACCAAAAAGTTTTGATAAACATTTTTTCTTCAAAATTTTCAAATTTTTAATTCGATTTCGCTTTTGCTGTTTTTTGCTGTTTAATGAACTATATTTTTTACAAAAAAATAACTAAGAAAAATTTATTATGGTCAGAGTGTTCATATTTTAGACGCTGCTTGGATATTATAGAGTGATCGATTATTCGACTTTTTTCGCAAACCGGGTTTATTTTGCATATTTTCTCTACAGTAATACTTAAGGCGAGTTTTCCAGTGCCAATTTTAACTTAGATCACGTAAACTGCGATTATATTGAAGAACTGGCTGGTATTTGATGGGCTAATCGAAGTTTAAACCAGCCAGCTCGAGCGTTTAGAAAGAAAAACTACAACCATGCCCTGAAAAACCCGCCCTTACTGTTATTCAGAAAACCAAATTACAATTTGACTGCTAAAAATAGATAAAGCTCAGTGATCTGCAAAGAGTCGCTACTGACATCCACTCAATATATGCTTACGCACAAAGCCATTGAAGTGTATAAGTTGCCATACATATGAATGCGATGCACTCATCATAAATACTTATACCATCCCCAACATGCTAAACGGAGTTGGATGAGTTTTGTACAAAGTTTTAAACTTGGATTAGGAATATGAGTATGATAGATACGTCATACTTAAGAGTGGATATGACATTCGGGGGCACTTCAGTAAGTATGAATGGTTATAAGTAGAACACATTATGGATGATGAGTGGGACACACTCAGTTTTATTACACTCGGTGCGCTTCTCTGATATAAATTTAATTCAAAAATCAGTAAGGGAAAATATGTTCAAAGTTCTATTAAATTACAAGTAAAAAAGGAAATAAAAATTAAAAAAAAAAGGCCAATGTGTTAAACATACATATATCTCAAAAATATTAAGAGGAAAAGAGCTTAAGAAAAAATTAAACAAAATAATTTTTGTTTCAAAAAGTAATACTTACCCCGTTTTTAAAATAAAGTTGTGATTATATAATTAAATAGAATTCTTTCTACTAACATTTGGACATAATTTGGTTAGAGGTCTAAATGACGCTGTACCCCTAAGGAAGGAAGAAAGCTGACGACCCATGTTTTCAAGATGCTGGCGATTCCACAACCCCCTAAGTTCAACAAATCAATTTTTACTAGCACTTAACCAGTTTTTAACCCTAACTTGAATGTACTGAAGAAAAATTACATATTTAACTTCAGACATCTTGTACCTTCCCATATGGCAAATGCACTTTTTGAGTTCCATTTACCATTTGTCTTTTTCATACTTAGAATAAGCCTTTCCATATCGTATTCTCATTGCTAAATGCCAAATACTTTCGAATGCGGTGTGCATTAGCCAAATGAGTATTTTTATTATCACATGTATACGCCCACTAAGGCACAAAAGGCCACATACGATTAAACATAGCAAGCCATACGAGTACTTATAGAGCGATATGTTGATTGCTATTGCCCATTAATATAGGAAGGCACCTTGGTACTTTCAAGTAACTTTTGGTCTCTGCCTACTAACACATGAACATATGTAGTATGTATGTATTTTCAAATGCTATGAAAACCTTACAAAGTCTGCAGTCCTCAGTCCAAATATAAAAACAAACAAAAAATTGAAAACTGCAATATGCGATAGACGCCAGCAAATGGCATATAAATCGTGTCAGTGGAACACCCAAATTTGTAACAATCACGACTTTATGCAAAATTCTGGCCAAAAAAGCGTTTATGCAAAGCAATAATACATTGAAAAAAAAAAATGCCACAGGACTGTTAAGATCGTTGACCAGATTCTATGTGAATTGCTGCGCGCAGAGTTGCGCTTTTTGTGAACTCTAATTGTTTTTTGTTAAGTATTTAACGCAAATTTGCGCAAATGTTTTTATCAACAGCAAACGATCCGGTGCAGTAAGGGCAATGAATGAGTAAGCAACTAAAATTATTTTTTTTAGGCAACTTTAAATTTTGTGTTGCTGCAAATTGTCGTACCCGTACGGGTACTTAGTGTGCATTGCTTGTTGCGGGAAGCGTATGCTAGGCAAGTTTGTCAAATATATTTTGAGTTTTTTTGTATTATAAATTCATATTTTTGATTTAGTTTATTTATTTGCACCACCATCCGCCAGCAACGCAATGTTCATTAAAACCACTTTTTTCTGAAAAATTGTTAAACAAATTTTATTCATGGTTTAACAGTCGATTATGGGTCGCGCGCAATTTACTAATGAACTCGTTGCTTAAAATTCGTTGACTTGCTAACTGATTTGACTGTTTAGCCTCCCTCGCATGGCCAACTATAAAGTATAGATATACATATAACAACTACTGCGCAATGGCGTCCATGTCCCACATTGATTTACTGGAAGACGCCTGCGGCCAGCACGAGTTCCCTGTCCAATGTTGGCTGCTGAAATCCACTATATAAACTTGTCCGCTCCACGCTTCTCCCTTTGGCCGAAATGGTCGCTCATTTGCTCATTGAGTTGGTTACGTCAGGCGCTTGCAAAATCATGGTGATGGGCGCTGATTGCATTTTAGCCGCGCACAAATTCTGTTAGAGGTCAATCAGCGAGAATGGTTAGGCAGATTTATATATTTTTTTTTAATTTGTTGTTGCTCTTGCCTAGTGAGTCAGTTTATTTGTTTACGCTTAAGGGCAAATATTGTCAGTATTACTTTTGTGAAATATCTTAATTTCCCAGATTTCTTACTTTGCATAGGTTATTAGTTAACTTCTGAAGAAGCGGCAAAAAAGTTGTATTGCAAAGCCAATTTGCAGTATCCCGATTTCCAAAACAATAAAGCTGTGGTAATGATAAGTGAATTCAAATTAGAAATCTTCGCGATATGCAAACAACAAAAAACAGTGGTGGCCACGTAATTAGAGACACGATTTTTATATTTTTTTTTACCATTTTTTTCTTATTTATTTATTATTAATTAAAAATATATAGCGAAAATCAAGTAACTCAAAAATAGTACACCTTGTACAAGAATCGGTCATCAACATTTCAAACTTATTCAGAAACTCTATAGAAAATTTGGTTAAACAGTTTCCATTACATTTTATTCAGTGGCTTAAAATTACAATTTATTTTTGATAAAAAAAAAATCCAAACACGAATTCTAAGCCGCTTGAAACTTGAATAAGACGGCCCCACAAAAAAAGCGTAATGTCATTTTGACAGCAGGAATACCCTGAACACGAATCTGAAGTGCGTTTTGCTCCAGCACGTCAGATTTTTTTAACCCCAAAAAACATGATGGATAGAAAAAATCCTGCCGTGATGAATCAAAACCGACTGCTCGGCGCACCAAAATATATAAGGAAAAGATAGTCTGATCCCCGAACCCCAGAATTTAGTTTCGTGAGATTATTCAATCTTAAGGCTTGTTTTCACTATGCCATAACCAGTAATACTAGACTTGTATAACCAGTCGATACTATTTTTTTCTTTGATTTATTTAATTCCAATTTTTTCTTTACAAACCTTCCACACACAGAAAGAAACCAAATGAAATAGAAAAGAAGCAAATCCGTTGAGCCGATCTTGAGTTATGCGGTAACACGCGAACAGCTAGGATAGGTAAATATTATATTTAAATATCCTTTTTGCAATTTTCTCGAAAGGTGGCAACCCTATTAATTTTTTTCTATGCAAACCTTTTGCAGACAGGAAGAAACAAATAAAATAAAAATTAATTAAATTCGCTGTGCCGTTCGCGAGTTATGAGGTTACACACGAATTCANCATCCGCGGTAACACACGAACAGCTAGGATAGGTAAATATTTTATTTAAATACCCTTTTTGCAATTTTTTCGAAAGGTGGCAACCCTATTAATTTTTTTCTATGCAAACCTTTTGCAGACAGGAAGAAACAAATAAAATAAAAATGAATTAAATTCGCTGTGCCGTTCGCGAGTTATGAGGTTACACACGAATTCATTTTTGTATATAAAGATTTATTATATTTGAAGCGTAACATAATTGTCGACACCATTTTCGAATCTAATTTATTTCTTCCTCATCACATAGTGTGTGATTACTGTATACCTAATAAAACGAAACAGTGATTAGCGACGCGTTGGTGACATAAAAATTTCAATTTCAACTTAACGAGCGGAAAATTTAATAAAATCAGCGGGTATGAATGCTGTAAAAATTACACTTTGGAACAGTTTGTGAATAAAAATTACAATAGCAAGCAGCAGTAAATAGTTCATTCTTAACCCTCTGTTAGAGTGCTAGCAAAAGGTATAAGTATAATAACTTTTTTTAGTTAGTATGTAAATTCAAACTCGCAAAATGCCATAAACAACCTTTAGTGTTAAATAAACCCAGCTGTATCTGAAACATCAAAATCTATACACTGAGACCCACTAACATTGTTTTCGACTTTCCATTAATTCTGCAATAGTTTAATTCTACACGAGGACAAAATGTGAGAACAGAAGGTTCGGGAATGTTTTCTTAAAGAACAAAATGCGAATGAAATTCTCGGGAACGCTCTCAAAAAGAACAGAATAAGGGCGAATATTTTGGGAACGTTTCCAAACATGATTGATAATTCTAAGTCAGAGGAAGGCTAGTGCACTTCGACTTCCCGCCCGTTTATCATTAGGATGAACTGCCCATTTATTGAACAAATTTTCATTTGCTGTGCAACGAAATTTCGTGTCTTAAGTCTTTCGTTTACTTAATTTTCATAAACACTATGTTTTAGTTTATTTGGTTAATTTTAATTTTCAAGCATTTCAAACTATGGAAAGTGGCCGACAAATTAGCAATGCCCCCTTTATCATACAGATCAATAAGCCTCCCGCCCATTCTGTCGAAAATTTTTGAGAAGTTACTACTTGACCGACTTGAACCTATTCTTACTCAAAAACGTGCTACGCCTGACCATCAATTCGGTTTTCGCCGACAATATTTAGCGACTCAACAAATACATAGGCTAACAACCAAAATTATGATTGTCATTTTCCTTGACTTCGGAAAAGCCTTTGACAAAGTTTGGCATGCGGGCCTCCCTTTACAAGCTACGAAAACTTTTACCTACAAGCTTTTACTATTTAAGAGAAAGTTATATAGCCCACAGATACTTCTACGTCATGTACGAAAATGGTTACTCATCTTTGCAACGAATAAAAGCTGGCATCCCGCAAGGTAGTGTTTTAGCACCAATCCTACATGATCTATATACGGCAGATATACCTATTTCCAGATAAAGCATCCATGATTTCCAGCTTCGCTGAAGACACCGCTCTACTCTACGGTCGGTTGTTTTAATTTGTGGAATATTAAGATTATATAACAAATAAGAAATATTCAGCACAGAATCTCCTCGTCCAATCCAGTCGACAATTCCAATCGACACAGAAGCTAAACACTTAGGGATGTATATACATTCGTAGTAGACTGACATGGAAAAACCATTTTACAAAGAAGAAAGAACAAATAAAATTNGTCGACAATTCCAATCGACACAGAAGCTAAACACTTAGGGATGTATATACATTGGTAGCAGACTGACATGGAAAAACCATTTTACAAAGAAGAAAGAACAAATAAAATTAAGAATTAGGCAGCTAAGTTGGCTTCTAAACAAGAAATCAAACCTTCCCGTGGACAACAAATTGCTAATAAATATACAGGGTAATTATAAAACCAATTTGGACGCACGGAGCATAAATATGTGGTACGGTACATCGAAAAATACAAATATAATGATAATTAAACGGCTTCAATCTAAAATTCTACGATCGGTACATATACCCGTTTTGTTCTCTTAAAAATCTTCCCGAAAGAACTGTTAGCATTCTGTTCATTTTGAGAACATTTCCCAGGAGTTTGTTCTTATATAGTTCCCGTTGAGAACGTTTTCGACAGTTTAGTTCTCACTTTCGTTCTTGTGGAAACACTCCCGACGGTTTTGTTGTTATTTCGGTTTCGATCATACATTTTGTTCCGGGTCCTTGCGTGTTTATAATTTACAAAAATATATACATATATCCCACTTTTAATAATACACATAAAAAAACAATCATAGTTTCTTCAATTCATACAGTACAGTGGAAGGTCCATATGTGTGACAGATCAGAAATTTTGTATGTAAGGCCGATCTTCACACGTTGGGTTCTGCCTGATAAATAACTTTTCATGATGGACAGCGCACTTTTGCCAAATCCGAAGTAATATGTGAGCTTGGAGCAGTGCAATGTATGTATGATAAACAGAGTCAAATGTTTTGGATAAATGTATGAAAGTTCATATTGTTCAGTGATTCAGCCAAATCGCTGCGGGTTAAAAACCATGTCACTAAGAACTAAAATTAATCCAAAGTGCTATATCAAAAGCATGTTATGACTATTTCATTGCACATTTAAAGCTCAGCTGTCTATAATCCCACATCGATCAGCACCATTAATGAAGCAACATGTTGCAACATAACGGTGATACATTTAATTACTAGCTAACAAGCGCCTCTTAAACAAGTGTCTAATTACGAACTAAAAAGAGTTCACTATACATACATGCAGACATACGTATAAGTATGTGANGGGACAGGGGCACTTTTGCCAAATCCGAAGTAATATGTGAGCTTGGAGCAGTGCAATGTATGTATGTATGATAAACAGAGTCAAATGCTGTGGATAAATGTTTGAAAGTTCATATTGTTCAGTGATTCAGCCAAATCGCTGCGGGTTAAAAACCATGTCACTAAGAACTAAAATTAACCCAAAGTGCTATATCAAAAGCATGTTACGACTATTTCATTGCACATTTAAAGCTCAGCTGTCTATAATCCTACATCGATCAGCACCATTAATGAAGCAACATGTTGCAACATAACGGTGATACTTTTAATTACTACCTAACAAGCGCCTCTTAAACAAGTGTCTAATTACAAGCTAAAAAGAGTTCACTATACATACATGCAGACATACGTATAAGTATGTGAGAAATCAAATATAAATTGGTTTGTAGTTAATCCAAAAAGTGTTAAAATATACACCAAACCGTTACAACAGTAAGACACAAAAAAGGTAATATGTAATAATGGACATTTTATGCTCTATTGGTATCTATATTATAGTTATTTCAAGGCCATCATACATAGGTATGTATGTATCTAAAGTAAAAACACTGTTAGATTATTTGTCTGTCATTGTAATTTAATGGATATATGAATGAGAATGTCTACACAAATGCGCATGTTTAGACAGAGTTTGCATATTTATGCACATACATATGTACATTAGATTGCAAAAAAAGTTGCGGGTTTTCCACCGGGATTACAAAATCTATTATATTTAAAGATATCCACCAAAAAAATATTTCGGAAAAATATTAAGATTTGCGTAAGCTGGACCAATTTGAAAATATCTCCAATAATGAAGTTTTTTATTAATAAAAATAGTTTCTTAAAGATTAAAAAAAAAATCGCTCAAATGACAAAACGGTTTAAGCTTAAAAAATTTGCACAAAAATAGTTAAAAAATTAAAAAAAAAAATCTCAACGGAATCGTAATAATGTAATTTTCGATGGCGCTTTTTAACTTTTTTCAAAAACTGGTATAAGAAAAACTTGAATACGCGGTCCCACATGGCTCGCCTTACGCCCGATCGCAGCGTGGCCCTGTAGGCCACATAATTTTTCTCTGCAGATTCTTGACACTCCTCATCGTACCGGTTGTTCATTCGGGATCGCTCAAAGTTGACTACTTCTTCGGAGACGGTACTTAATGAGCGGGAAATTGGAACCACAGTCTCGCATATGTTGGTTTGTTGAAGAGTGCTCTCTGAGAGCAGGAGTTAGATTCGAGTGGCGAATGCATTGACCGTCTGTTGTGATCGCAGCTTTTCGACGCTGTGATCGAAAGCTTTTCCTTGAATTTTCGGCAGCACATTTTTGCTGCACAGAGGCGGCTCTTGCCTTGGCTGCAACAATAAAGCGATCTGAGTCAGTGTTTAGCTCTCGGGGTGTACGCACGTCTAAAACACTGGAAGCGCGATTTCCCGGCTCTGAGTCCTTCACTATTCCAAAGTTATGGCTACTAACTGCGCGCATATCCTATAACCCCAAGACTTTTTGTGTCTTGTGATAAGGTAGCTGTACTTAATCTTCGTTCGTCATTATACCGATTTTGGTTGCTCCTTCTTTAGGCCGCCGATGTCAAAGGGGAGCTACATACGCCACCACAGAGAGCAGCTTAAAATTAACAAAGAGGTAATATACGCCTATTTCAATGTCAATAATATTTTGCAGAATTTATCGTACTGTCAAAATAAGTCAGCAACAGTGAAACTAAATCGGCTTTTTAAAAGGAAAGGCTGAATCGCATGGAATATCCCAAAACGAACGACCGAAAGTGACCTTGCATTGAACCAAAACTTTTGTACCAATCAAAGAAAATTGATTTTTAATTACTTAGGCAGCGCGTGTCTTGCTGCATAAATAAAAACATTAGGGGTATTCACGATCCGGTGCATACTGTCTAGCATTGTGCATAGATAGCATAGTTCAAACAACAATAAAATTATCCAATCATGCTATTTATGCTATCCATGCACCATGCTAGACAGTATGCACCGGATCGTGAATACCCCTATTGTTTTTGGCATATGCAATTTGCATTGATTTTCCTGAGTAATTTTTTTATGTTGACATTCACCTTTTTTGTCCACAAAAAAAAAAACAAATGTGTATTAAAAGACATCGCTAATTGCCATAAAAAATTCGAATGTTTGCTACAAAGGCACTACAATACGAGTGTATACTTATTAACTTATATGTATGTATGTACTCAATACCAAATCGATTGCGGAATTTTCGCGCTAATCACTGCTCAATGACATTGTTTCGACAATGCACTGTTTTAATTTTGCTTTGAAAATTACTTTAAAATATATGCATCTATATACTTATACGCTTAGTAAAAGCTCATTTAGTCTAGATTCAATTTACTACACTTAACTTAGTATTTTGGCCAACCTGCAATTTGAGAAACTGTGTTAGTCGTTAGTTTAAACTTAACTTAGTCTTAGAATCTAAATTTAGTATGGACGACTATACTCGCCCTAAAAGCTACAGGCCCAAAACCATGCTGTCCTGAATCTCCTCCAGAGATTGTTTTAGTTGTGCATCCTTAGGGAGACGCTTTCATCAAATACTCTGTATTTGCATCGACATCCCTATCACGCGTGGGAAACTTGTGAGACGGCTCTGAAAAATATGGTTACTAGGAATAGCAAATGCCATGACTAAAAAAGAATTCGCTTTGGGCATTTTTGAAGACCTCGAGCTTTGAATAATGCCACCTTCGTTAGTAAGTGCAACTCGGCTTTGAAGCATGGCGTAGATTCCGTGATGGTAAATTGGATACGTTCGATACTCACGCAGAGGATCATTAGGATTCAGCCGGAAGGCGGTCAATATGTCACGTGCGAAGTTCATAGGGACGGTCTTCTGTAGTGTGCCTTCTCCCTTGTCCCGATCAATAAATAATCGATAGAAAAATCGATGAGCAAATCGATAAAAATATCGATAACAAAGTCGATAAAAATATCGATAAAAAAATCGACAAATAATCAATACAAATCGATAACAAAATCGACAGCAAAATCGAAAACGACATTGATAACAAAATCGATAACAAAATCAATAAATAATCGATAAAAAAATCGACCAACAAAATCGAAAACAAAATTATAAAAATATCGATAACAAATTCGATAAAAATATCGATTATTATATCGCTATGTTCCGAGAATCCCGAAAATCCCGAAATAGCTCCCAGATTGAGTCTCTGTTCCTCTATCTATATCCTTATCTGCTTTAATCGTTCTTCCTCTATCTTCATCTTTACTTTTATCGGTATCCACATCCTGATCCTTTTCGCTATATTTATCTTTGTTTTTACGTTTGTGTTTATAATTTTCAGCCCCAACCGTTCCGTTGCAACGTTTCGGTTGAATTTGCCAATTTACCCCCCACCAACCAACCGCCGCTAAAGAAGTTTCACTTCAAGCAACATAGCCCATGGATCTGGCGGCTTATCGGTTGAGTTTTTCCATGCTGGCGACGAAAAGTTGGTTGGACATATCTACCAACTCTTAAGCGACATTTAGTCCGATGGGGGCATGGCTGATAAAAATGTTCAACGTTGATTATAAGATCCCATATAACCGTGTGAAAGGCTGAAACCCTTCATAAACTAACTGAATGGGCAACGTGGCTACAGATTTGGAAAGTCCACGATTTTCGCAGAGAGTCAAGATTGGACAGCAATTTTCTGGACAGTATAGTGGGAAGTTTGGAAATCGGCAAAGAGAAAGGTAATGTCTGTCAGGGAATTTTTAATTTACATACAATAATATTTTTCCGTGCATGCATACTAAACCTGCATTCATTTTGATATCCGCTATCATTAAGTTAATCAAATCGAACATAATAAAATTTTGAATTCTTACGTTATCACTGTGGCATTTATTATTTTTTATTTAAATATATGAGGGCGATAGTGATTAACTCAAATAAATTTAACAATAAAAGTAAGTGTTTAACAAAAAGTTGTTTGGTAAAGTAATTAGAATACGAAAATTTCCTTCATTGCTGCAACACAACGGTGACACTTACGACATTTTGTACTTGAATAACTAGGCTCGTTGCTTAACCTACAGATCAGAAATTGTAATAGAAAATTATTAATGAAACCACGTATTAATATAGAGGCAGTGAAAAGTTTTGCAATCTGGTGGTAATGTGAGTTATTATGCCATTGGAGCAACTCATAAAGAACACATTAGTCAAACATTAATTTGTTTAACGGCAGGGGAGGAGCTACGGGCAGCAAACCAACTACGCATTCAATTATGGGTAATCATGAGGCGAGCGCGGCGACGGAAAGGGTTCTGTATTATTTCACGATACAAAGTGAAAATAGGTACCCACTTAGGGAACCGCGGACGGAATGTAGAATGATAACAACAGCCCGAACACCGATGCGAACTCGTTGGAGTTGTTTGATTTTTTCGGATGTCGAATGTTTGTGTAAATTTCGTACGAGTATTGCCTTCTTTGCTTATTGTTGTTGTTGTTGTTTTATTTTGTAAGTTAACAGTGTCGTTTTTGCATGACTTTTGCTTAAAGCTTTCAGCCGAGTGGGCGTGGGAGGAGGATTCTGGTGTTGGAGCAGTGGAACAAGCAAAGGTGGAACATGCAAATGAGTTGAATGGTTTGTGCCACACATCCAATGGACGCCACATTTGCTCAAATAAGCGTTGAAAATGCCATTCAATGCGACGATGCAAGCGTAGACGACGTGTAGGACAGTCGCGTGCCTTGCATGCCGGTGTCCAGCAATGACGGGGGGGTACTTCATCGGATGCGAACACAAAATGGCGATTAAATGTCAAATCATAGAAATTTTTACCTGTCATCACTTGTAGAAATTCTATAATAAAAAAAATGTTTATGAATAAATTTTAATGGTAAACAAAAAGTATTCGTCACACTTAAACTCACCATCGAAATCAACAGTTCCTGAACCGTCAGCATCAATTTCTTCGATGATCATATCTAAGTCGGCAGCTGACAATTTATCGTCCAATTCACGTAGAATGTCACGAAGTACTTGTACCGTCAGGTAACCTTTACCCTCCTTATCGTAAACGCGGAACGCTTCCTTCAGCTCGCTAACCAAGGCGGGTGCATCATCCTCGACCTCAACGAAGCGCGCGGCTAATTTGCAGAATTGACCAAAATCCAATTTACCAGAGTTCGCCTTGTCGACCTCTTTAAGTAGCGCTTTAATAGCTTTTTCATCCAGTTTTTGTCCAAGTATCTCGAGAATGGTCTGCACATCACTGTATTCAATATAGCCGCGTTCATCATGATCGAATGCCTTGAAGGCATTGCGCATAACTGTCAATGTAAAAATGTGTGTATAAAATTAAAATTGGCGATCGTAATTTATTAAAAGAAATAAATTGATATTTAAGCATACTTCTCAGTTGTTCTTTATCGTATTCTGCTTCAGTCTGTAAGAATTAAACAGAGAAAAAAAACGAGAAATTAAAAAAAAGGAATTTTATAAAGAGAGTAGAAAGCTTTAGTATTTTCATACATAAGTAGTTGATTTCTTTTAACTTTTTTTACGAAAAATGCTAGATAAGCTTGTAAGTTGCTAAAAACCCCAAAAATCTAAAATCCAAGATGGCGGAATGTCCACATATGAAATTGAGGTGCAAGACTCTGGATTCCTAATAGAAGTAAACTGCATCAAAAATTCGCAAAAATTTTTATTTTTTTTGTAACGGTCTAAATTTACTGGGCTATTTTCAAATTGATGCTGCTACACTGAGTTNTATAAATTGATATTTAAGCATACTTCTCAGTTGTTCTTTATCGTATTCTGCTTCAGTCTGTAAGAATTAAACAGAGAAAAAAAAACGAGAAATTAAAAAAAGGAATTTTATAAAGAGAGAAGAAAGCTTTAGTATTTTCATACATAAGTAGTTGATTTCTTTTAACTTTTATTACGAAAAATGCTAGATAAGCTTGTAAATTGCTAAAAACCCCAAAAATCTAAAATCCAAGATGGCGGAATGTCCACATATAAAATTTAGGTGCAAGACTCTGGATTCCTAATAGAAGTAAACTGCATCAAAAATTCGCAAACATTTTTTATTTTTTTTTTGTAGCGGTCTAAATTTACTGGGCTATTTTCAAATTGATGCTGCTACACTGAGTTGGTTTACTATTTTCATTTTCTTTTTTATTCGTTCGTTAATTAGTGGACTACAAAATTTGTCAGCTCGTTAAATTACGCGTGTTTTATTTATTATTATTCAGCCATATGTAAAAATGTACGTACATATGTACATATGTATTTAATTGTGAATGTGATCGTATATGTATATAGCAATGTACATGTGTGTTTATTTATTATTGAACAGCGTTCATTTGCAGTTCTTTTGCCATTGCTGGCGAGTAAAGTGACCCAATTGGCGTTCAAAATTTATGACAAAGTACCAACAAACATACGAATGTGGCATTTTGCGTTGCCTTGTTTTCCTAGTGCCTTTTCGTTTGCAACACATTCTCTATAATCCTCAAAAGCGAATTTTATAATTTTCTTTACAACGAAAGGAATAAAAAAAATAGAATTTTTTATATGTATGTAAAATTTTTTAATAAGGCCAATAATAATCTTAAACTGCACGGATCTCATCAGAATACTTTTACGTTTATTGTGTAAATACGTATGTATGCATCCCAAAAAAGAAAAAAAAAACAAAGCCAACATGCAGACTAAGTAATGTTGCGAATAACAGTAAATAAAAGTAATTATTTTGCAAGGGCTCCAAAAATACTAAGCTACTGCTATATTTTTTAAAACCTTTTCGTCTTAGCTGGGAGCCGAGAACTCTGCGTTAATTAAATAAATGAATATTTAAATAAAAACAAAAGCCTGCCGCACTTGAATGCAGTTCGATTGACAAAGAAAAGTAGAAAACAGCAAGAGTGGGTAGAAAACTTTTTTTATATGCCGGAGTTCACAAGTTCAAATCTCAGTGAGCTCGATGCAGAAAATTATTGTCGAGCTTCTACGCCAACCAGCCTGAAATATAATGAATGTGGTCCGATTTTAATGAAATTCGATTTGTATCAGCCTTAATCGTAAAACTTAAATCGGAAATATGCTCAAATACGGTTCACTGTCACGCTCAGCAGCTTTAAAATAAAAACATAAATCGCATAAAAACTAATAATTGTATTCTTCTAATATATTTAATAGGTTCGGTATCTTCTTTAATTTTTCAAATTCAATTTCTTCATTCCTGAGCAAAGGGACTACGTAGCAATTTTTAGTAAAATTAAAGCACGGTTACTACTTCTCGCCGCACCTCATAAACGGATACTTCTAAATATATATCATCAGAAAATACTGAAAAATTGCTTCAGACAATACGCTCTTTAAAATACATTTATGCAAGTTTTATGTACAGTATGTAATAAACAAATAAACTTTTTAAAGTTTCATAAATTGCATTTTATTGACATAAAATTTACAAAGAACTCATTCATTTTCAACCGGCTTCAAAAAAGGGGAGGTTTCTGAGTATTTTTTCTTCTTTTATGTATTCCACCGCATAACTTTGGACCGCCTGAACCGATTCCAATAATTCTTCGTTTTACCGGAAAGATGAAATGAAATCATGAAAAAATTAACGGTACTCCTAAATTTATATATGAGAATTGAAGTCGGTTTTGCTTTTTGCTTAAAAATTACTTGTTTAATAAAATGTTCAATAAACACAAGATGCACTCAATTTTCAAAAGTAATACAAAATTTTACAAAGGATTTTAATATAAATAAATTAAATAGTTCCATGAAATTTTCATA